CTCCTTCACATTAAGTATTTCTGCAGTTGTTCTAAACCGTTTTTTCCATGCGCCATCTAAACTATTAAAATCGGTCCTTTTCGGAGGAGAACGAACTACTAAATCGATATTTTCCCTAACAAATCCTGAAAGGGATGGAGAATATTCCGAAGCCTGCTCAAAGTACTTTCTAATGTCTAAAAAAGGATCAGTAAAAATATGAAAAGTCACTGTTTTTCTTCAAAAATATCTACCATTGAAGGCATATGGATATTTGTCTGTATTGTCGTCTATCATGCGTTTGAGTCGTTATGCATTTTCGGTTAGACACATTGTGATGCAAGGTATGTCTGTCCGCACGCGTGATCGTCCAATAATATGCATTGTTGTGTTATCACGGGGTTTGATTTCCTTATTTACGTCATCTTACTGTTATTGTGACGTGACGCGTTTTTACTTTTAGTTTTTGTTCTTAAATAATATTAACTATTAAGATCAATCTTAGCTTTTTTTTTTATTTATTGTGGTTGTACTTTGATACAAATAAAGTCTCTTACAAATAAAAAGATTACTTTTATTATTATATATATTAAATAAAGAAAATAAAAAACCGTTTTTTATTAAATAAGTTGTTAAATGTGTAATTGTTGTTTTACTTAAGATTTATAACTGTTGTTTTACTTTATGAGATGGATGTTCGCCTCTTTCATGATACACTTCAAAAATGTAAAAACTGAGAAAATGAAATCCCTGATCAATGTCAACAACGTCTGGATCGTGATAAAGTTTCTAAACGTATAAAAAGGGTGGCTGAAAATGCTGATAAATGTGAGAATTGATTAAATAATAACTGTATACGAAAGCGAAAGAGATTGAGTTGCCTTAATGATCACACCAATTGTCAGAATGCTGCTCATTCATATGTCATTGACAACCATTGTCTTCCTGATTCTGACCAAAAACTCTTGCACGATTTTTGCTCGAAGATTGATAGGTTGGCTAACAATCTCTGTCCCGTATGTAATGAACGTTTCCTGTTCATTGAAATTATTCAAGATGCATGTCGTCACTATTACACAGAAAAAAATGAGATAAAAAAGTTCTCAACAAGAAATAACATAGATCTTAGCGATGTATCTGAAGAATTACGAGGACTTACCCAAATAGAAGAGATGTTGATCGTTTAAATTTTTCCGATTGTCTCTATATACTGTCTTTATAGTAATCAATATGCATATCATAGTTATGTGATTAATTTTTCTTAGGATGTGTAGGAATTTGCTATACGTTTGCCTCATTGTCCTTCAACACTTGATGTTCTTGTTGTACGTCATCACTCTTCCAATGATAGAGTATTTAAAGATTTTAACGTACGTCAATCGATAGTATCTCGTATTTTTCATTGGTTGAAGCTTAATAATCGTTATTATTTGAATATTATCATTGACGAAGAAGTTTTGAAGTCATTACCTGAAAATGGTTCACTCAATGATCAGATTCCATAATTTAAAAATATGGATGGTGAAATAGATGGTAAAAGTGATGATGAAATAGACAACCTTAATGACTCCATATTGAGTAATTTTGTACCTGTTCCTATTTCTATTCCTAATGAAGATAGGGTTGTTGCTGATGCACTTGCTCGATTGCAGACAGATAATGCTTCTGTCATATGGCCATGTATAGATAGTGTTTTTGTAAATAAATTCCAAACTTCTAGCTATATCGCTTGTACCTTTCTGACTTTATATTTTACTGGTGCTGCTGATCTTTGATTTAAACATATTAGAGATGTAAAGCTGGCTAAATATTTTTTGCATTTACTCAAGTATAAAGATGGATGTTTTGCCCGTCATGCACGCTGACATTACTTTGCTTTAAACTTATAAATGAGATGGAGAGCCTTGCAAGAAGGTAAAGTGTATGTAAAGTAAAGCTTGAATACCTAGCAGTGTACCATTGAAGATTTACAGAAAATGCTTGAGAATGATAGTTATGTAGCAGACTGTATCATACGATTTGGTGATAGTTTGCGAGAATCTCGTCAGTTTGGTACAGATGTCAATCAAAATTGTCTGACATGATTAAGTAATTAGGAACTCAGAGGATGGTATTTTTTACCTTTAGCGCTGCCAATTTTCATTAACCTAATTTACACAAACTGATGCCGCATAATGACTCTCTGAGTATGTTATTAGAATAGGATGCGAATAAATACAAGTGGTAAGACTTAATCAATAATCCTCATATTACCGCTTGGTTTTTTAAAAGAGGTTTAAGTTATTTTTTGAAAAAGTATTGGTACTGAAATGGAATCTCAAAGATTAGTGGTATTGATTTGAGTGGCAGCATCGTGAAAGCTCTCACATATACAGTATTGCTAAAGGGAAAGATACACCTGTTATTGATTGAAATAAAATGAAAGATGATAAAGAATTGATAAATAATGTGATATAATACCTGGATTCCTTGGTTACTATAATTAATCCTAGTCTTGACGCACTGTTTCTCAAATGTCATCCTTATCAAAAACGTTTTGATGAGTTGCAGTATGACTTACAGGATTATGTCGATTTAGTTAACAAGCTACAACATTATACCCAATGTAATCCTTCTTACTGTCTTTGTGTTGATCACACTGGACAGCAATATTGCAGGTTTAAATACCCAAAAGATATCACTAAAAATACATACTTACAAGATGATAATGGAAAGTCTAAATTAATTACTGCAAGGAATGACCCACTTTTTAATCCTCACAACCGCTTATAGCTTTAAGGTTGGCGTATGAATGTTGACCTGAAGCCTGTTATTAGTGTAGATATTGCATTAAGTTACATTTTCAAATATGCGAGTAAAGCAGAACCTCGCTCTACTACTTTCTCAGATATTTTATCCATAATTATTAATGATAGCAATCCAAATGATCTGTCCCTTGCAGCAATTCAAGGTTTACTGCTTCAGACTGTTTCAGAACGTGATATATCCGCTCAGAAGATGTGCCATTTGCTTCTTGGCCTTCCTCTTTATAGTTCCAACTGTCAATTTATCTCTTTAAACTTTAACAAAGATACTCCTTGATGGCTCTGTGGATCTGAAAATGCTCCATTTTCAGCAGATGAAGTTGGTTACAATCTCCTCTTCAAAAATATTGGAATCGTATCGCTGAACTTAAGGATCTTTCACTTTTTCAACTTTATCAGAATTATCATTATTCTAAAGGTCACTGAAAATGATGCAAACGTGAAAATATCGTGTATATTTAGTCGCGTCCTTCCTAGGATTGGTAAAGTCTTAGGTCCTGGACCTAAAGACTTAGTTCTTAGACTAAGTCCATAGATTATTAGGTCCTATTTTTTA